AAAAAAAAAAAAAAAAAAAAAAAAAAAAAGGTTGCCTGGGGACCAATGGTCTGCTTTGGAAGGGTAGATAAGGGCTACAGATTCAGGAAAGGTGGGTTTTGTCCCTTCACAAGGTAGGCAAGGCCCCCCCCTTCTCCCTGCCCCACCACCCCCAGCACCTGCAGGGGCTAGTCCAATAGCTACTTACTATTGCTTTAGGAAATGCCCCCAGGTAACATGCAAGTCCAACAAAAAATATCCAGCCAACCACAATCATGATAGAGGAGTTATTTGTTGGAGCTTCTGCACTCCAAACACTGGGGTGCAGATAGAGATTATTCACCAAGACTTCATTTATGAACTGTCCTCATCAAATTCTCAGTTGTTAGAGATTTCACATGTCAGTTCCAGTCCCTTCCGGGCTCTAAAGGCCCCTCTGGCTCACTTGTGCAAGGGCCAGGCCTGAGGGCATTATGATGTCACTGGTCACATGGCCTGGGCTCCATGACCTCATCCCCACCCCCCACCCCGAGAAACAGCCTAGCTGGGGATGGAGCAGCCCACCCATCCAATGCTATTAAAGAAGGAGCTCCCCATCCCACCTTCTACCCTCTGTGGGGTGAACGGGTGTGCTGGAGTTGTGGGGTCCTCAGTTTGAATCAGTTGTGCCACTTAACTGTGTGACCTTGGACAAATCCACCTATACCCACTGTGGGGTTAGGTGATATAGTGAGCTTTGGAGTAATGAGTTCTAATCAGCATTACCACTTGAACAAATCTCTGGACCAGGTTGAGTTGGACTAAATAAGTAAGGGAGGGGAAAAGGGAAGAGGAGGAAGCCTTTCTATAGCCTCGACTAGGAAACTGTAATTATAATTGGACCCCAACTTGTGAACCAGATCAATTACTATTCTTTATTTTGTGCTGTTTCCTGTAAAAATGTGCTTTCTGGTAAACTCGGGGGTGGGGCATAAACCACAGAGTTCCCTATTCCCCAAATGTGCTTGCCACAGGGCTGAGACAGGGAGCGGGTGGGCAGAACAAACTCTGGGCAAACTGCAATGTTCCAGTCACAGAATTCTTTGTTCCATCCACATCTTCTGTATCCCCAAATGTTCCAACCTCAACATCTTTGTTTAACTTCTCTTGTCAAACCTCAATTTCCCCATTCTGATCAATCAAAAAGAAGCAACACTTATGTTGCCCACGATTATGTAAACAAGCTATGTTCCACATTAATGACTATAAAGATGTTCTGTTAGCCCTCAATGCGTGTCCTTGGCTGCTGAGGAGCTGGGATCCCATTTATGGGTAATTGCTAACTTTGCTAATAAATTGATCATGCTCGGAACTTTGTTGCCTCAGTTTATCTTTATCTCAGATTTCTGTTGTGACCCTGCTGTGTGCCAGGCCCTGTGCTAAATTCTTTACAAATATCTCATTTGACCCTCACGACAACCCTATCAAGTGCGTGCCATTATTTGCCCCGTCTTCAGTTGAGGGAACTGAGGCAGACAGAGGTTAGTTAAGTGATGGGTCCAGGGTCACACAGCTACTGTCTGAGGCTGGATTTGAACTTAGGTCTTCCTGACTCCAGGCCCATCACTCTATCCACTGCACCACCTAGCTAGCCTCTAAGGTTCCTTCTAGCTCCAAAGCAATGACACTATGACCTTTAAGTTAATTTCTTCACCTATGCCCTGTTTCATTCTGGACTGGCCTCTCCCTCAACCTTTCTCTTTACCCTCTCAAAGGAACCTTTAATCTGTTTTCCACCTGACTCTTTCCTCTCAAACACATTTAAGTCTCCCCATTTTGGGGGGGAAGGGAGGGACAGAAAGGTAGCTTTGGATTATTTTTGCTTTGTGTCAGAACCTAATATTTCCTTTCACGCACAAAATTTTCAAAGGAGTGGTTTAGGATCTTCTGACTTTATTTCCTTTTCATTCACTCCTTATTCCTTTTGATTTCCATTTCTACCACATGCCTAGAAATTCTCTCAAAAGTCAACCAGGACCTCAAGGTCCAATTCCCAGTTCTCATCTTCCTTCATTTCTATAGCATTTCTCATTTGTCAACCCCTTTCTCAAAATCCTCCAGCCCCTTGACATTCTTTCATTCATTACTTCATTCAACAATCCTTTATTAAAATCTTCTACATCGTGCAAGGTACAACGTTAAATTCTGATAATACAAAGAAATAATTAAACAGTCCTCATCTTCAAGGAATTTATATCTTACTGACTTCTATGACACTGTATCCTCTTGTTCTTTTTAATCTGATACTCCCTTTTCTGGTTCCTTTGCTTTCTTCCTCCTGCTACCCCTCCTAATACAAGCTCCCTATCTTTGATTTTCTCTTTTCTATCCATAATCTCACTCAGTGGGAGTTTGTCCTTAATTACCAGGCTTTAAGTCTCCTATTAAGATGACTTCCCAAATTGTATCTCCACCTTGACTTCTAGCCCCATATCTCCAGTTGTCAATCTGGCATTATTTCACTTATTGATAAATGAATGAATTAGTGGATGAATAAAAAAAAAAAACCACCAAAACATTTATTAACCATATGCAATGTGCCAACCACTATGGATGCAGGTACAAAAGCAAACAGTCCCTACCCTCAAGTAGGATATTACAATTGCATTCTAATAGATATAAGTTATATCTGTCTATCTATCTATCTATCTATCTAAGAGATGGTTACCAGGAAGTGATATTTTGGTTTGGAAAATTGCTGGGATGGTGAGTGAAGCTAGAGGGAAACAGACAAACACATCCTTTTTCTTAGAAGTAGCTATGTTGATTTTATTATGGTTCTAGTCATGAAAGGAATAGGGGTGTGTAGAGGGCATATGCTGCATTAAGGGAATGTGCACTGGGAAGTCAATTGAGGAAGCATGGCTGGGGCCTGCCTACATGACAAACAGATTACATCAAATGCACTGGGATGACGGTTAAATCGTCAAGCCAGGGAGTAAAAGACAAAAACATTGAATTAGCCCCTGATGCTAGCTACTCTTTGGATTCAGGGACTTTCCTCCTGGGATTTCCCCTCAGGTCTTCCTTTCTAAACAAGTGATATCTATCTGGGAGTTATGGTATCCTTTAAGTTTTCCATTACTGTCGATGAAAAAAAAATCATTCTCTGTATTGTCAATTTAAAAAAAAAATAACCCACAATCTATGAAGTGCCCAACAACTATATGTGCAAGGTTGTATACGTATTCTCCTGGACCATCATTTCTCCCCAGGACAGTTTCCAATCTCTAATCTAAAGATATGATAGGCTTATAGTCTTCTGTAGGGTATATTTGTAGTTCCATTAACACTTGGGCTCTCCTAAATAGGGGATACATACGTAGCTTACATTCCATTGGGAGGTAAACTGGGCAGCTAGGTGGATACAGCACAGTGGATACAGCACCCTGCCCTTGAATCCGGGTGACATCTTCCGAGGTTCAAATCCGACCTCAGACATTAGCTGTGTGACCCTCGGTAAGTCACTTAACCCTGATTGCCTCAGTTTCCTCATCTGTAAAATGAGCTAGCGAAGGAAATGGAAAACCACTACAATACCTCTGCCAAGAAAATCCCAAATGGGATCCGTAAGACTTGGACACAACTGAAAAAACGACTGAACAATATATTAAAGCCAACCCAGCTGATGGAGCTGTTCTATGCGGGACCCAGCCGCGCTTCGGCCAGGGCCACGTGCTCCGCTAGGAGGACCAGCTGGCGCTTTAGGCTTTCGTCGGGGGCGGGGCCGCGGCCGCGGAGCAGCGGAGTTAGACCCTCTTCGGCCGCCGTCGTAGGGCGGATCCGGAAGACGCCTGGTAGCTGGAGGCATTCATTGAAGAGGAGGAAACCTGCCCCGAGATGGAGTTCGACAGCGAGAGTCTGCGGCGGCAGCTGAGCAAGGTGCGGAGCCGAGGCGTCCCGGAGTCGGGCGCGGTGCGGAGGGCGTGCAGCGACGACGGCTGGGGGCGAGACTGGGGCCGGAGCCGGAGGAGGGGGCGGAGACGCCAGGGCGGGGGCGGAGACCGGGGCGAGGGGCCGCCCACCCCCGTCCCTGAGTCTGCTTCGGGGGAGACGCGGGGCTTGGAGCCGGGGAGGCCCGTGGAAGTCCTCGGCCGAGGAGCGCGGGCCATCCAAAAGCCAGCCTTTTAAATGTGGTCTTTCGTGTTTAATCAGTGCCCTTTTACTTCGCTGTCGCTTCCCACCTTTGGCCCAAATGAGCAGTCAGTGACCCAACAAGCATGTGTTAAGGGCATACTACGTGCCAGCTAGTCATCAAGCGTTTAAGCACCTACAAAGTGCCGCTCGGTAATCATTGAGTAAACGGACCAAGTAGCAGGTGGAGTCCTGTGTCCCCCACCCCAAACCCCCCAGACTCGGTACCTGCCCTCCAGGAGCTCGTTGTCTGACGGGGGAGCAACATGCAAACGCCTGTCTGCAAACGGGGCATTCTTCAGAATGAATTGGAGAGAATCGGCCTCGGGAAGGCCCTGGCGTTGAGGGGGTACTGGAGGCCTGAGAATGAAAATGCCCAGATGGAGTGTCTCCTTTGAGGAGGAGGCTGTGGGCAGGTGTCAGGTGTAGACTGGAAAGGGCCAGCTGATGGAGGGCTTTAAAAGTCAAAGACGATGGGGATGAGGGGTGTGACAGCTGAGTGGAAGTTAATAACCTGCAGTTGGGAAAGATCAGCTACCAGAAATCTGTTGCACTAGTCTGGTCCCCAGGTGATTGGAACCTGCTCCAGGGTGGTGGCAGTGTCAGAGAAGAAAAGGGAGCATATATATATATATATATACATACATATGAGATGTTATGAAGGTAAGTTTATTTTTAAAATTAATTTATGTTTAGTTTTCAATATTCACATGAAGGTAAATTTAATAGAAGTGGCAACAGATTGGATATGGAGGTGATAGCAAAGAATTGAAGAGGACACCTGGGTTGTGAGCATGGGTGACTGAGAAGATAATGGCCTCAACAGTAATAGGAAAATTAGGAAGAGGTAAGGAAGGGAAGAAACAAGAATTTATTAAGTCCTTAGTATGTAGCAGGCACTGTATTGAGCTCTGCAGATAGAAATACCAGCAATTAGAAAGCCAGTCCCTGCCCTCTAGGAGCTTACAGTCTGGTGGAGGAAAATAACACACCAAAGGGAGCTGAAAAAACTGCAGGGAGGGTGCAGATTAAGAGATCTGGGCAGGGGGCTCGGTTTTAAAATCCCGAAGTTGGGCATCAGGCCTGAAGGGGAATGAAGGCCGACTTTGAACCCTTCAACAAAATGGACGCCCCAGCAGGAACTTGCAGAAGGGGTTGGGCCTTCCAGAGGGATAATCTAGAAGGAATAGTTAACAAGTTAGATGAGAGAATAAGGAACCAAAGAATTTTCAACAATCTAGAATAATAAAAATAAATGTTAGGGTGAAAACCTAGTATGGTTCAAAAAAATCAACTTCATCAGTACGAATATAAAAATATCTCAGGGTTTTAGAGGATTACAATATTTAGTGAGTGAACAGTGTAACACAGAAGCCAAATAAATCAATCTTAGGCCACATTAAGGGCTTGTGGTAAAAGATGAGGAGTGTAGTTTTAGACATGTAGAGTTTAATATGCCTATGGGATATCCTGTTTTAGATCTCCAAAGTCAATTGGAGATAAAAGACTGGAGTTCAGGAGACAGGTTAGGGCTGGATCAATAGATCTGAGAATTATCTACATAGAAATGATAGTTGAATCAATGGGAGCTAATGAGATCAAGTGAAATAGTGTAGAGGAGGATTAGTTATTATTTTATTGCAGAATAGAGCCTTGAAGGACATTCCCAGTTAGCAGATGAGACCTGGATGAAGACCCAGCAAAGAAGACTAAGAAAGAGCAGTCAGACAAGTAGGAGGTGGGAAGCAAAGAAAATAATTCTTGTTAATTGAAAAAAATGGTAGGCTTTTGAGGAAGTATAAAAGAAAAGGCTTGAAATAGCTGATGTGAGACAGTGAATCAATTATGAAGATGTAAAAAAATTGATTACTGTATAGTCCAGTTAATTGATTACTGTATGGTCAAGGACAGTGTATAGAACACTGGGTTTGGAATCAGGAAGAAGACTCATTGTCATGAATTCAAATCCAGTATCAGTCACTTCCTAGCTGTGTGACCCTGGGCAAGTCACTTAACCCTGTTTGCCTCAGTTCCTCATCTGTGAAATGATCTGGAGAAGAAAATGGCAAACCATTCCGGTATTTTTGCCAAGATAACCCCAAAATGGGGTCACGAAGAGTCAGATAGTCCTGAAAAATGACTAAACAACAAACACCACCACCAGTTAAGATTATGTAGTATAGACTTGTAGTGGAACCAAGCAGCATAGTTTGTGATATCCCCCCAGATCTATTTAACAGCATATGAATAAAAGAAAAGGAGCAGATGGTAGGAGTAATCCAAGGCTGGGTTTTTTTTTGGGGGGGGGCAAGGCAATCAGGGTTAAGTGACTTGCCCAGGGTCACACAGCTAGTAAGTGTCAATTGTCTGAGGCTGGATTTGAACTCGGGTCCTCCTGCAGCTGACTCCAGGGCTGGTGCTCTATCTACTGCACCACCTACCTGCCCGATCTAGGTCTTTTTTAAGGCACATTCTATCTCTCTGACTAGAATATATCATTCCTGTATAGCTTTAGTCCAGAAATTCAAGTCCTATTTTTAGATACTATCTCCTTAACCAGCTGTTCACTTCCTAAATCTGCCTTTTTCCTGTTGCTCCAATTTTTGATCAGCAGCAGAGATAGAAGCACTATCCTCCTTTGGCCTTTCATTTCTTGGCCAAAGCTTTATAATCTTTAGCAGTGCTTTCAAGATTGCTCTGGCAATTTAACTTGTGTTTGTGTAGTTGTCATCTAGTTTGACAAGTTTTGGGAGATTCTTTGTCATGTCCTGAATTTATGATTCAGGAAGACAGCATACCTCTCTATTGTTATCAGGTCAACAAATAACTTCATTAGTGCTCTTTTGCAAGCAGTCATATACCACTACTACTTACCTCTTCTTCTGTCTCTTATCACACCTTCTTGTGGATCCAAATCGTCCTTTACTGGAAGATAAGCAACTCCTTTCTCCTCAGAAAGTTCAGCTCCCCTGTCTTTATGCGTAATGCTTTGCTCCAAGTGTTTATTGGTGCTTCTTCCTTGTCATCACATTCTTTTACCCTCCAGCTTCCTGATTCGCCCAAGAGGCCCTATGTCTTTGTTTTCACATCCATTTGATTCTTTATTTTCACAGTGAAGCCCTTCTGTTTTTTAGGGACCCTTTCCTGGATAATCTGGGCAACCGGCATTCCTAGAGCCTTTTTACCTTCTCTTCTAAAAAGGAAACCTGGTCTCTTGGCTATGGCAGAAAAACAAACGTTGTCCACTCTCTCTATGCACTTGGTAATGTTTTTATGTTTCCAGTGTTTAAATCCATCCCTCTAAGAACTCCTCCATAACTGGCCTAGGTATACCTTATACCAGCTAATAACATTCAGCCAATCCTTGCTTTTATAGGTTTATGATTTCACTACTTTGGTTATTTGCTGCAGCAAACCGTCTATCTTATACAATTCCTGGCTGTATCTTCTCATAAACCCTTTAGGTAGCATCCAATATTTTAGAAACTCTCCCCTAGGTTTTTTTGATACTGGTATAACACTTATTCTGTATGTCTGTTACCCTTTACTCTAAGTATGTGACTGGCCGAACTGTTTTTGCCATCACACCTTTCTTGCATGATATCTTTTAGGCCACTTTTTATAACAAGTCATCACTGGTAATATTTTACAGCCCACTTAAAACTAACATCAATCTCTCTATTGCTTCCTTTTGTCACCCACAGTTTCAAGTTTTTGGAGATTATAGTGTTTAATGACTTGTAGCCATAACAATGTTGCCAAAAGAACATTGGTATGGGAAAAAATATTTTCTGCCAGACAGTATTTGGTGATTATTAAAATTACTGCAGTTTTCAAAAGTATTTCAACCTATTCTCTTCCTCCTGTTCAGATGTTGAAGTAGCTCACTAGCAATTCTGTAGTGCCTATCCAAAATAAATACAACATTGTGTTTTGCTCATGCAGCTGCTTGTTAAATCCCAGTCAATAGTCATTTTCATCCATTTTGTTTTTCTGTGTAGATTGTTAGATTAATCTGTTTTGAGTGGCCATGAATTTCATCGAGGAAGTACTGTTGTATTCTGGATGAAAAAAAAAATCTTTACACTTTTAGTTATATGCACATTTCATTTAAGTTTGTGATTCTACTTATTGTTGTATCAGTGTTGGTCTTTCCTACTCTGTAGTATTAGTCTTTTAGACCTACATAAAATTTGACAGCTCATCCTTTCATATTTGTCATCTCATTTGAGCTTTGTGGCCACCTTACAAGGTAGGTAAGTCAGGGATATCACCATTTTAACAGATGAGAAAAATGAGCCTCAGCGGTTGAGGAAAAAGAAAGTGGAATAAAAGGAAAGAAGGAAGAAGATAGAATAAAGAAAGAAAAATATGCGATAGAGAGTGGTAACTGCCTCTTAAAAATTACCTCAGAAGCTACACAATACATAGATATCATAAGATTAAACATCACCTAATCTGAATTCATTTTTTCCCAATACCAAACCCACCCCTGCTATATATACACCCTATTGGCAGCTGTGGAGCACCTAACTAGCCAAGTATCTGGCCTCTGCATGCTTAGTAAATTTTGGTTGAGAGCAACAGTCTTGGTTATTATTTCCTTCTAATTTGGGGCTGTAATTTTTCTTTCTTTTCAGTACAAATTCAGGGATCTAACAGTGGAAGAATTAACGAAAGTAAATATGTCCTATCCAAATTTCAGATTCTCCATGGACACTTATGGTAAGATTCATATCCCCTTTTTTGTGTGTGTGTGCTTTTCTGCGTGTTGCTTTTAGACTTTTGAACTTAATATAATTTCTCTTTTTCTCTCTTTTACCATCTGATTTTCAATTTAACTTTTTGTGTTCCGTGGTTTCATGGTTTCCAAGGAACATATACTCTATGGTTTCTAAGTCAACACAGTTCATGTTGTTATTCTTGCTTGCTACTAACTTTTTAGTGAATTTGTATCACATTTTGGATCATTTAAGAACAGGTTTGTGAATACACGTTCCGATCCCAATCTCCTGTCTTTCCATCTTTCCTATTGCCTAACTCTCCTAAGCCTGTTCTGTTTGCTCTCTCTCTTATTGTCTCTCCTTCCCTCCCTGTTTACCTAGTCTTTCACTGCCATTTTGGTTTCATTTCCTTCCTATGGTCTTGACCCTACAGTATGGCATTTCAGTAATGTACTGTGCCATTTGCTTGGAATGTATGCATTCTTGCCATATCGTGGCCTCCTGTTGAAACTTTCAAGGCCCAGCTTAGATGTCACCTGTTAATGAAATCCTCTCCAGTTCCCCTGAAAGTAGTTGCTCTCTTGTTATGTTTCTTAGAGCACTTTGACTAGATTCCTTTGCTTTGAGTAATCTTACCTTTCATCTTGCATATCCTGTTCCCTCATTAGAGTGTAAGCTTCTTAAGGGCAGGAATGAAGATTTTTCTTCTTGTATCGCCAATGCTTAGCATAGTTCCTTGCACATACTGAGTATTTAATAAGTGTCGAATTGAATTATATAAATTTATCTGAATACTTCTTTGTTTGTGGGGATACCAGAAAGATAGCTAATTCAGAGTCCTGCATTAAGATACTGTCAGAAATACTGCCTACTTTTCAAATGGAGTGCCTGCTTTTGTGCTTGTGGCACTAATTAAAGTGGGTGGAACTCCTGGAACCAGGGTTGCTGTTTATTCCACATAAGAATTTCTTGGAATAAATCTTATTTTCAGAGTGATGGTTTATTGCTTCACTTTAATCTTAATTCATCTTCTCACAAAGATTTTAAAAAGATTAAGGTTAATATTAATCATGGTCCAGACTTTAATTTCTGTTTTGACACAGCAATAATAATGCACTGACATCTCCTCAGTCACCCTGGCTCATAACCTCTGATCCTCCATTTACGACTCTCTCTGGCCTCCATATCTAATTTGTTGTCAGGTCCTATCTATTCTGCTTTCACAACGTCTCTTAAATATGCCCCTTCTCTCCTTTGACACCATATAGCAAATGATTAATAAATGCTTCTTGACTTAAATGATAATAAATCTTAAAATTTCTTTACACTTGCAGAACATCATCCTGCTTAGTTAAAACGTTTACTGCAAAATTTCCCACTTATTATTTGCTCCTTAAAATTCTCTTTTTGTCCCTGAAATAACATTTATAAACAGCAGCATATATTCATTCACATATTTACCTATCCATGTATTCAAGTTAAGCATTTTTATTTATGTTTATAGTGGGATTACAGTAATATGAGTCATCTAAACTTCCTCTTATCATTCATTCCAGGTATCTCTCTGTCATCTCATACTGATTATTAAGGCTTCCCTCTGATTAAGACCTAAGTAACCCCAACAATTTATATAGGGTTATTATTTCCTGATCAGAATTAGATTCTTTTCATTGTTCAAATCATTCACAGTGTCACCTAAAAAAATTTATAATTTTGCATGTGTTTGTCTTACTGGTTTCTGTAGTTTTATATATAGTTCTATAGAGTCTATGTATTTCTCAGGGTATTATATAATACTTACAAAGTTAAACAACAGGGAAGATATTAAAATACTTTATTTACATGTAAAAAAGGAATTTATATACATATAAGAAAAGTAGGATAGCTACAGCAGAATAGTTCCATGAAGTATACCATCGCCTGCTTTTTTTTTATTTTTTCCGGCCGAAAACAAGGTTTATTAGAACATCCATCATATTGGGCAGACTCTTAAGGAGTCTGAACATTAATAAGCTATTGGCTAGATTTTAAGAATCTGAGCATCTTAATGGAGACAAGGTGGATCTTATATACAGAAAAACTGTGGGAGGAACCTAGGAGTGGCCAGTAAGCTGGGGTGAACAGAACTCCTGGGACCTGGACTTTGTGGCCAAGGGATAATGGAACCTAGTTAGGATTAAGGGTGGGAAATGACCGGGCATCGCCTACTTCTTAATAACTAATACGATACTGAGCTAACTGGAACCTTGCAAAAGTCTTATTCTCTCTAGAGCAGAATTCATTGAAATGAGCCTATAACTGACCCCAGGCAAATGGTTTAGTTATTAAAATAACCAAAATATTTCATTTAAGACAGTTTCATGATGAGGAGTCTGAGATAGAATTGTTATAAGAAGGCTTTAATGCGTATTGGCCATAAGCAAAAGACAAATATGTAAACCAGGAAGAACCAGTAGACTTAAGCTTTCCAAATAATAAACTTCAACCCCAAAAGCTCTTTGAAAAAGCAAAAAAGAAACCAGAGTTACCATGGCATAGAGGATCATTTTAAAAGACTTAATCACTGACAGACTATAAGATTGGTTTTGAGGGTCATCAGTTTGAGTAATATGTGACTGTCAGGTATTTGCCACACAATTGTGGAGTGAATTATTTGTTTATGGTATGAGGCCCTTGGAGAGACCAAGGCTGATTTTTGGCAGCAACACTAATTAGGATGAATGCTTGTGATAATATGAACCTGTTCTAGTTCTGCCTCTGTAATATGCTAGAATTTGACTGACAGTATGAAATTCTCACACATTTGACTAATTTACCACCTGCAGTTTGGACAGTTTTGGTTTCGGTGAATGATATCTACTAGTTCCCTTGTCCACATGTTTATTGACTCCTAGACCATAATTTTCAGATAATTTGTACTTATTTTATTGTGGGTTTTCTGCTTTTAATTTTATGTTTTCTTTTTTTCAGTTTTCAAAGACAATTCTCAGAAAGATCTATTGAATTTTACTGGCACTATTCCTGTGAACTATCAGGGTAAGAGTAAAAATCCCCAAAATGGGATGTTCTTTAAGTATCGAAGTATTCATATTGTTGTACTAACCTACATAGATAGGCATAGTACTTTCAGGTTTACAAAGCGCTTGCAATTCTGTTCTCTAATTCAGTCATCATGGAAACCTTGTTAAGTAGTCAGATGAGAAATTTAGGCTCAGAGATATGACTTGCCCAAGGTCACAGAGTCAGTAAATAGTGGAGCATGGGCTCAAACTCAAGCCTTTTCATGGTCTGGAAAATACTATGAGATCTAAGTCTAAACCATTTAGTTCTCTTGCTCTGTTCTGTATAGCTTAGTAAATGGGGGTGTTCTGAAACCAACAGCCCTGTCATTGTAGTAAGGTCAGCTTCTTTGCCCTGGTGCTAATATTAAATGACATACATTTTCTTTCTTTTTTAAAATTAATTAATTTTTTTTAGTTTTCAATATTCACTTCCACAAGCTTTTGAGTTTTAAATTTTCTCCACCTCCTTCTCCCCAAGATGGCATGCAATATGATATAGGCTCTACGTATACATTCATATTAAACATTAGTCATGTTGTAAAGAAGAATTAGAACCAATGGGAGGACCCATGAGAAAGAAGAAACAAAACGAAATGAAAAAAGAGAGAGCAAATAGTATGCTTTGATTCAGACTCCACAGTTCTTTTTCTGGATGTGAATAGCGTTTTCCATTGTGAATCTTTTGGAGCTGTCTTAGATTCTTGCATTGCTGAGAAGAACTAAGTCTATCAAAGTTGATCATCACACATTA